TTTGGCTTTTCGTAAATAATGGAATAAATCAAAATGGCACATTAAACATCGTATGCTTCTTATTTTTTATGTTTGGGAAGTAAATGAAGGAATGCATCAAGGGTATAACAGAAAGGGTTGGGTATAACGGAAAGGATTAAGTTGTATACATCTTGATCAGACCCCCAACAGAGTTTGAATTGTATTGAGTTTTGTTGTTGTTGACTTGTTACACTCTTAGTACTGTTCTACACAATTGATAATTTGAAATGATAATCCTTTACAACAAATTTACTAAGTTCTTATTTTGCAAATACAATGAAATAACGAAAGAGCTCGCATCCAGCCCCCATTTATCTGCATGCAATATTAGCATATACTCCCTCCATTCTCCATTCACAATTAACTGATCACTATGACTTTTGTGATACATCAAAAACTGAATGAATCTAGACATAGTGTATATTAATACTCATTCAACTTTTGATGTATCTCTAAAGTAATAAGAGTCAGTTGAATGTGAATGGAGGGAGTTTTTGGAATGTATAAGTAATAAACAAACTAACATATTTGGAATGTTTTAGTAAAACATGGAAAAGCAAAAGTAGGCATTTGGTTCAACTCAAGATTAGGACAATATATAAGCAAGCAAACTTAACCTGCTGACAAAGAGGAATAAGCAAAGCAGAAAGATACTCGGATTGTTTTGCAAGTGGTACATCTTCCATCCCAATCAATAAGCCAATTGCCTAAGAAACATTGCCATGTAAGAACAATAAGACATCAAGCATGGAACTGTGGAGAAAATGTCTCAAAACCAAATCAGTAAATTAATAAGGAGCATACCACAAACTTAGTGTTTACCTCAAAGATGTGACTACCATCTTCAGACCCTAAGATTTCCTTAGAAGAATAAGACATGGTTGTAAATTGAGCAACAATATCTTGCACGCTCTGAAAAACAGTTTAAGATTAGATGTATAGTGGAAAATAAAACCTATTAATCATGCTGTTTAATGTCCCATCCATACATTATAACAATAATAGAGCACAATGAAGTCAATGTAATACCTGTAAAATGACCTCTACGTATGGGACGAGTTTTGCTTTTAGCAACTTAACAACCCTCATGAAAAGATAACTTGCTCTCCTGCTCACTTTAATATTTGGATGATGTATGCCTCTTTCATCTAGAAATGCACCCAGAACCATGGGTATGTATTGTGTACTCTCCTGAACAAACTTCATGTACCTTGCGATAGTTTCCAAATACATTAATGCAACAAGTCTATTAGAGTGGCAAGGGAACTTTGTTGACAGTAGCATTGGCACCAGCTCTCCTAAAATACCACCTCCGGTTCTTATTACCTCGTCACTAACTGATTCACCAAAGGAATAAAATAATGAAAGAGCAGCCTCGATTTCCTCAACATTATAATCCTCACTAGATGCAACAGCACTAGCCAAGGAGTTTCTTATAAAAATTTGTGTAGCATCAGGTGCAACACGTCCAACACTGCGAAGTAGAACCAACAAATCCTTTCGAAACTCAGCCATCCGATCTTCTTCGTCTTTCCCAACTTTATCCAATGCATCAATATTCTCACGGTATTTCGAATCAAAGCGAATGCGGGAACGAATTACATCCAGTATCTGACCTAAATGATGCAGCTGTGTCTCTGTCAATTGAGTTAGACTCCTCATCATCGCAACATAACCTGAAAGGAACTGCACAATGCTAAAAGTTTCATCAAGTTCACAATGTTGCATAGCATAAAACACTGAGGGCATAACCTCATTCAGCAGTTCCACTGAGATAGTTCTGCTGTCCCCTGAGTCTATCCGCTTGAAACAGTCTACAACCTCAGTGGCATAGGCAGTGAGCAATGAAGCAATGCTTGATATCAACTCAGAATCATTGTCACCAACCAACAAACTACAGGCCCTTCTTATCTGAAGATTTTGTAAGAGGTTGATCTTAGCTTTTGGATCCATGCGCTTAGAAACTACTGCTTGCACGCATCCAGCAGCAGCAGCACGGAGTTGTTCTGGCAAGCCATCAGCTAACATTAACTCAAACAACAATGCAAGAAATGCATCGTTGACTATCAACCCAATGTCGATCCAGGAAACATACCTACTTACAGAATCTAAAACACTAGCACACAAATCGGGATCAGAATTCCTATACACCAACAAGACATCATACCATGCCCAAACAATCTGAGCAATGCATTGCTGCCTCATAGCATCCTTCACTCGCCCTGCAATACTCACATCATCTTGGCTCCTCGGATAGTCCGAACTAATTATCTCCTCATCCATGGCATTCAAAACCCGACAAAACATATCAATAACAACTGCTCCTTTACTGAGATTTGGCAAGAAGTCAACAAAGACAGAAGGCCATGTTAAGGGGTACTCAAAATAAATTAAAGTTACAAAAACTTGAGCAAGCTTATTCTTTATGAAGGCTGGACTATCCAGAACCCTGGCCAAGTTCTTATCATCAGTATTCTCATAACAAGCCATCGAAAAAACAGATTTCCTGACAAGTAACTTCTCCTGGGAACTCATTGAAGAGTACATACCCCGAAGTACATCGTGGAGACACTGCAAGCACCAGAACTGGACCTGCACGATCTTCGAAAAGCACAAACAATCGATGCATATACTACAAATTGATGGGGACTCCTTAATTTGCTGACAAAAAGCAATCGCCTGGGATTTCAGCAAACCATCCACACTCCCAGTTTCATCGAAGCTTATCACTATAGCTTTTTCCAGATTATCCATCACGGACCCAAAACCCTAAACCCTCGAAGTTAATGTAAAACCACCCAAATTTCGCTAAAGGACTGTAAATGCTTGCATGAACTATTTAATCCGCTCAGAATTGCTCAAGCCAAGAATGAAGGATTAGAAAACTGGAAACTCGATTGAAATGGAGAGATAGATCGTGGTGGGCTTACGTGTGTGAAGGAATACTTGAAACAGGGGAGCAAAATTGTTGATTCGTTAGGGTTTTTCCAGAAACGGATCAGTTTGGGAAGTATTTGAGAGATGGAAACAGAGGAGGCTGCTGAGAGAGACGCAGAGGAAGATTGGGAGGACTCATCTTGTGTGTCCATATATAGACTTCAGAGTCCCAAAAAACAACCCACCATTATTCTGTTCTTAAATGTTAAGTTTCTCTCCATTAAACTCTATCTGATTTGTTAATTAATAAAAAGATTACCCGTGATCCTTTTGTAAGGAGTAATACGGTTCCCGTTCGTGTTCCTGAACGGGCCCTTCCGCGACCGCCACCCCGTGGAATCGTTACCGGTAGCGTTCCAACCGGTACCGGCACCGGTACTAGTATCGGCCGTTCTGATACTGTAATGGCCGGTTTCCATCACCTTCTATTTTTTTAATTTATAAAAGTGTAAGTATTAAAGGAAATAATGAAATAAAATATCTAAAAATGTAGTTATTTAAATATTAAAAATGAATAATACACGAACAATTATATTTAATATCCTGACGGTTCAAAAAAACGACGAGATAAATAATTGTAAAAAAATCCTCGAAGAAACTTATATATCGTCTCACCTAAAAAACTACTTACATTAATATAAAAAAGAGTTTATAACTTATTCCTCGGAACTAGAGCTTCCATCTGTGGTTACATTCATGTAATATTCGGCATTAATGTCATACCCTGACTCTTGAGCTCGACGTCTTGCCAAGAGCCAATCTCGGTTGCAAACAAGTGCCACAAGCGATTCAATGCTAAGACAACTTCGGTAGTCGGTTAGAATGTTGACGTTAGAACTGAACTCTGGTTCCACCGCTACGGTTGAAACCGGGACGGATAAAAGTTGTCTGGCTAGCATTCCGAGAGATGGGAACATGTGTTCGTTCTGCTTCCACCATTCGAGGACGTCAAAGTCTATGTTGTCGTTGTCGTCGTAATCGCATGGCACCCCTTGCATTGGTACATAGCAAGTTCGTTGTGCGACCTTACAGTTATAACACCTGAACTCGTCGAAGCGTGACCACTCTTACCTTTTTTGCCAAAAGGCCACCAACTATCCCTTTAAAACCTTTTTTTTTTGCTTTGGGAGGTGGAGGAGGAGTTGTTTCTTCCCGTGCATTACCGTAAAATGCTTGAAATTCTTTAAAAAAAGACTCAAAGAGATCAACAACATTATCTGTTTCTTTTGTCCATTTAGTAAATGATTGTAATAATAATTATTTTCATCTAAAAAACAACTGTAGTAATACTCAATCAGAATTTTAAAATTTTCAATCTTAGAGCGAGGATCACAAATTGTAACGCCACAAAATATGGCCTAAAATTTATTATAAAACAAAAGAAGTTTTGAATATCATTTTAGTCCAATAAAAAATATTTATACATTTGACCAAAAATGAATGGATTTTCAAAATAATGAATTTTTGTTAAAAACTATTTTTATGGATATGTCTCGAAGAGACGAATCCAACGGTACATTTTATGAACCAGCCTGATTTATAAATTTCAAGCTATGACGATTTGGAATATTAAAATGTATAACTTTGACCCATAAATTAAATTCAATTAAAAAGTGATTTCATAAGATTAGAAATCTTAATCTTTGACACTTGACAATACCATATTCATCATTTGGATTAAATTCATATATTTTTATTTCACTCATATTATTAAATTAATTTATGACTAAGACAGACCATGACACTAAAATAAATAAAAAGTTTTCAGAAAAATATTTTGATTACGTCAAAATTCTAGTTTTGACAGTCTCATTCCAAAAACACAATCCGTTTTCAATTCGGAGGAGTTTGGGCGAAAAAGCGTGTATCGTTTAGAGTAAACTATTCAGTTTGGACAAAAAGCCAAACATTATTTCTCCTCAATCTTCACTAATTGGATAGCCATGCCACCTTAGGAAATTTCCTAAGTGTTTTAAAAATCACTCCAAGCTCCATTATACACCTCACTACCTAATAAGCCAAATAACTTTGGCTATTAAAGTCTACCCCAATCCCCCCTAAAGCTCTAAAGTCAATTACACACAACTCCATTCCCCTCCTCTCTCTCGTGTAAACCAGCAGCCAAGGAAGAAATACACACCAGCTTCATGGTTGAATGCTAAAGAAGAAGGAGAAGCAAGCAAGAAACAATCCAAGTATCCAAAATCCCAAGTTCAAAAACGCAGCAGCAACTTCATGGTAAAAATTGAAATTTTCTATTCATTATCTCGAAAAACTTTCTACACCAAAGTTGTAACCCCAGACGATACGAATCCAGCCCAACAAATGGTTCGCAATTTCGTTAAGTAACGAAGAAGATATGGCCAAAATACCGGGACTGCGCCAGTGGTGGCGAGCTCCTCGGGTTGGCATATGTTTCTTCACAAAATTTATATTATTTCATTCCAAATACTTACCATAAATTCTCTAACGATTATTAGGAACTTACGGAGATATCATGGAGAAGATTCGACGTTGGAATATTGAAATTGATAAATTGATCGTCGGAACTGTTGTTCACCAGAGTATTCGAAAATCCTGGATAGCAACTGTCCCTTGACTTCAGGTCATATTTACGTTATCTTACGTCTGTTAACTCGAAATACTTTCTATACAAAACTTATAGACTTACATCTTAGGAATACACAGAATCAAACGGTTTGCAATTCCGTGAAGAAACGATGGAGATATGACCAAAATACGGCAGACTGTCCAATTGTGATGGGAATGACAAAGTTGGTGAATTTCGACATTGTTTTCACTCCCGTTCTTTTGCAAGGTTTTGGCCATTCATTTCCAGGTCTGTACCATTGCGTTAGACTTGTTGAATCATTCATCACATACGTACATGAATATATATATGTGTGTGTGTGTGTGTGTGTGTTGAAATCATCCCAAAAATATATATGTGATACATATATAAGTCATCCATGTTTTGAGATCAAAATACCCTAAATCCATAAAGTTAATATACACAAAAGTAAATATAAACATTGGAAATCAACCCAACAACATGTATATGTCAATCAAAAGTGTTTAAAAGACTTAAGGAAGTATTCTAGACACCCAAAATATCAAGAGTAAGATTTGCAGACCTAAACGGTCAACGCAAACGGTCGACCGTCGTGTTAAACTTCGAAACGGACCACGACTGTCAGCAGAACAGTCAATCGTCGCCGTCAAATGGTCGACCATCGCTAGCCCAGCCGAATGCCACCTCACTCAGGCCGTCAACAACGGTCGACCTCCGGTCAACCACAGTTGACCGTCATGGTGTTCCAAACTGACGAAATGAATTGAAGCACGGTCAACCGTTGTGTCAAACGGTCGACCATTTAGCTTACTTAAATGATATTTTAATCATGTTTCATCCAAATAAACTAATGCATGATTATATATTCATATTATTTACAAATTGTTCATATCATATCAATCATTTCATCATTCATATTGAAGCATATCACATCATATGCATGCGTAAGAGATCATGCCTCGTGCGTCTCTTATAGCGTGATTGTGCGGGACTTAGTAGTCCGAAATCACACGTTCGGGCTTAGTGTACGTACATTGTATTCAGGCTATCGAGTACCACCCCCATATTGTTTCTAGTCTCACCTCATTCGTGAGACTAAGGTGGCGTGAGTTCGTCGTACAACCTAGGCGAATCTCATAGCGCAAGGGTCGTCCTTGCACGTTAGTTTCATACATCATGTTATCATCATCAAGTATAATTATATTGATTACATAGGTGTCATGTAATCATCATCAAGAAGAATCAAATTGATTAAATGTGCCATCATGTAATTATCATTAAATATTTATCATCATGAACCATCAAATTGACCATATGATATAATGTGCCATATGATGAATATTGTTATACATTTTTGTGAACGTATATATATATATATATATGTATATGTATATGTCTGTGAATTATTCTACAATCCTAGCGTGGTACCACTCAGCAGTTTCGCTGAGCGTGTAGTTTGTATTTTTCGTTGACTACACGTAGGTAACAAGAAAATAATGATGGAACCACTCCCGGAGAGCAATGAGTCGGAGGAGATGCAGGGATTGCATGCAAATGTTTGATCATCAAAATTTAAATGTGTCATGATTTGATTATTATTGTACTTCCACGTTACTCTGAAAATATTTTTAAAAGGATCGCGATCTAGAGTCTGTAAATTTAACATTTATAAGTAACTTTCATTTTCAAATGTCAAACAAAATTTTTATTTAACTCTGGTTTCACCTTAATTCGTGTAATTCTGGGTTATACGGATTGTGGTGTTACACAAATAATACTCCCTCCGTCCTATAATGATCTTCCTAGAGCACTATTCCAACTTCACGTGAATTTATATTTATTTATGTTTTTTCATGGCCTATATGATAAAATAAAATATTCTTGTCACCACTTGTTTTGTTGAACTTTTGATGTAGTTTTTAAATATGTATGTTTTATTTTTTATTTCTATACCAATATTTAAATAAAATAGATTGAAAAAACTTGAGATTTTTCTTCGTTTTGCGAACCGGGAAGATCATTATAGGACGAAGGGAGTACCAATTTTATAAATATCAGGAAATATACATGATGGTTAAGAACCACCGAGAATGAAGAATAATATAAGTTTTAGAGAGAGAGAAAGAGCAAAGTAGGAGTTTATTCGTTTCTAACTTGGATCCATTACAATGAGGGGTCTCACCCCTTTTATAGGGGATACAATACACATAGTCAAAGTTTCTCTGATCGAGGTTCGTCGCCTAGCGGACGTCATCCCTGTTATGCGTTGTCCCTTTCATCACGTCGCTGTCGCGTAGTCAACGTGGCCGATCTCTATCCGGCAGTCGCTATCACGGTCCCCAGCCGAGCTCGCTACCCGAGCCGAGCCCATAGGGCAAGCCGAGCTCATGGGCTGAGCAGAGAAGATCCTCCACGTGGCTGATGGGTCCCGGATGACGTGTCTTTTAGGGTTGTCCTCCATCATAAGCCCTCCACTCTCCGGGTTTCGTTGCAGTCAGCGATGAGACACGAGAGAGTATGGGTACTGTAGGAAAGCGGCGCGGGGTCCACGTGGAATAGTTGGCAGGTCATTGGTGTCGTTTGGGCTTCGCCATCATGAAGGGGTGCGTCGTTTCGTCTCCCTAGGCCAAGTGGCGGCCCATCATTGCACCCATTCAACCCTTCCTCTATAAATACCCACCCTACTCATCTCATTCTCCACTTTTAGAAAGAGAGAGAGTAAGATTCTTTGCCGTCGCTAGTCTTCCCGCTGCCATCCTCGTCCGTTCTCCAGCTCCGTACTAGGTTAGTCTTCTTCGTCCTTGCTCTTCCATGTCTTCCCAATCCTCAGTCTTTCGTCGGTCCGCGTCCGAACGCGACGCCGAGGGTTCTGTCACAGGCTCTGCCCAGGAAAGTGACTCCCGCTCGGCCTCCGTTGAGGAGATAGTCGAGGCGGTTGAGATCCCTCTTCAGTCCGAGCCTCGCAACTAGAGGCGCACTGCCCTGGAGGACTCGGGGATCCGAGCGCGGAAGTGCACCCTCACGGCTAAGGAATTTCGCAAGGCGAAGCGCCTAGCCTCGGTGCCGGGTGTGATTGTGCGTCGTCCCACCCCTGAGCAGTCAGTCTTTGATGCTCCTTCGGGTTTCTTCGCTGTCCACCTCAAATCCCTCGAGTACGGGTTTCGTTTCCCCCTCCATCAGTTGGTCATAGATTTTTTCCAACATTTTGATTTTCTCCCTTGCCAAGTCGTGCCCAAATCCCATCGTTACTTAGTGGGGTTCCTCGTCCGTTGCCAAGGAACCGGGGTTCGCCCCGATCTGGCTCGCTTCCTGTTGCTCTTCTGGTTGGCGAAGTCATCTGGACTGGCCAACTCCGACTCGGGTTCGTACGCCTCTATCTTCCAGAGGCAGGAGAGGCTTTTCAAGACGAGGAAGGACTCCACCAAGAGTTGGAAGGGGAAGTTCATCTTCATTTCTCTCTCCTCGGGCTCCCCTTTTCGTAAAGAACCCCTCAGTTCCTTTCGCCGCCGCTCCGCGTGTGTCACCTCGAACAAGATGCTCGAGGACGTAGAGACGCTCTGCCATGGGGGGCCCTTCGAAGTCGGCTCGGTGGTGACGAATGAGGCGCTAGCGGAACTCGGCTTCGTCTTCCTATCCCCGGAAGACACCCAGAGGAGCATCGAAGAAGGCCCCTCAGGTCAGTGCACTCTTACGCTCGACCGTCCGTGCGTCGAGACTATTCCGGATTCCCGCTCCTTCTCGCAGCTGTCCTTCCCTCACCACTTGTCTTCTTTGGTTTTGTGCAGGTGAAATCATGCTCTCTAGCGCCGAGCGGATGAAGCTCATGTTCCCGGACGCTCCGAGCGGCAACTCCCAGGCTCCTCCCTCGGGCGGCCGTCCCCCGACTCCCCTCGTGAAGCCGACACCCGAGACGACGCAGAAGAAGAAGAGGAAGGAAACGGCCTCGGCCGCCAACACTTTGCAGGGGTCTGAGTCCCCCATGATGAAGGACTTCGGCCATCCTAAATACGTCAAGGCGGCCTTCCCTGCTCGGGTCTCCTTCCTAGACCGGGATTACGACCCAGAGACCTTCCTGCGCAGCTTTACTCCTCCAACCGATCGTGCCAAGATAAAAGATATCGACTGGGAGACTCTAGCCTCAGATACTTTCCACGAGCTAGGCTCGGTAAGTTTCCCTTATTACACCTTACAAATGTAATTCATCTGTGGTGCTCAACCCTTTGTTATTTGCAGGCGATGATGCGCATGGTCGACATGAGCCAACGGCTGCGCGCCAGTGAGGACGACCGGAGCAGGGCTTATGTTGAGATAGCCAACCTCAATGAGGCGTTGAAGGCGGCCAAGGAGCAAGCTCGCCAGGCTGAGGAGCTGGCTCAGCAACTCGCGGAGGAGGCTGCTCGCAAGGCGCGCCAGGAGGCTCGCAATCAAGCCGTTGCCGAGTTCCTAGCATCGGATGCATTTCAGGAGGAAGCCTTCACTCGCATGAATGATTTGCTCAAGGCATGGGGGCAGACTCCTAAGGGGAAGGCATTCGCTCACTCCGAAGGAACGTCGTGGTACAACCTCGGACTGTTCCGAGCGCAGCAGGTCCTCTCGGATAGGTTCCTCGCCGGGGAGGACTTCCCCGAGCCATGCGACAATCCTGATGAGCTCGACACTTCCATCTACTACCCGAATGGCGGGAACTCAGCCGGCGAGCAGCCGAGTACCGAGTGATATGACTTGAAACTTTGTTGTATTTGATGTACTGCTCAAGACTTTGTTTTTTTTTGAATTCGGATATGTTATGACTCGATGCTTTGTACGGATCTGCCATGCCTCTCTTTTGTGTTTAATTTTACTGCCTTCGTCGTTTCTTTGAACTTGCGAGCTTGCTCCTTCCCCCGCCCAACCTGAGCTCGGCCGTGCCGAAGAGAGGGTACCTCGGGGCTTGGTCCCTTTTCTGTCTCCTCGTTAACCGAGACAACCTTGGACCTTGGACGTGGGACCTTTTGACCTGCCGTCAGTACGACCATCCCCGTGCTGCCACGTGTACCTTCCCTCTATGGCAAGATGCCTATATAAGGGGGGGTTCTCACGATTTGTTTTATTCATATTTGAATTTCTCCAAATCTTGTCATGCCGCGCTCGGCCCCCACTCCCCCCGATTCCAGTGAGATGCGAGGAGAGACGTTTTCCTTTGGTAGCTATTCTCTCGGGGGCTCTTCTGCCATACCGACCAAATCTGGGCCGAGCTCGACCCCGCCGCCCTCTCTACGGGACTCGAACTCTGAGTTCGAGTTGGTGCACCCCGATCCTTCTACCAAGATCCCGGGGTTCATCTACTATTCGTCGAAGGAGGACGAGAGGACCCCTTCTCCGTCGGCTCCGCCGGTCCGTCGTGACGTCGTCGCCCCCCCGGTTCCTGTCGCCCGCGGTGGCCGAGGTCCCCGCCCTCCAGCTCCTCCCGCAGCGATTCCAAGCGAGAGCTCCGTGGCATCCCACCATCCGAGCCGTTGCTCCCTTGAAGACCCAGGCTCGCCCAGCTATGACGAGTCCACCGGGCACTCCGTTACCAGTCGAGCTCCTTCACCTTCTTACCCCCCACCTTGCCCTTGCGAGCGGGGGTGGAATTGTGGCATGCACTGAAGTCTACCCGTACTTTAATTGCAAGGTGTTTAATTATTGTAAAGCGTTTGTGCCATGTATTTGCCCGTTTTCCGGGATGAATAAAATTTGGATTTGATTAAGTCTTGTTTTCCCTTTTCGCCATTAGCCTTAAGGGTTGCACTCGGCTCTTCCCCTGAGGGGAGTGTCGAGCACGAAGGTTAGACCTTCATCCGAGAAGAACATCCGGACATGGTCTGCGCTCGGCTCTTCTACTAAGGAGTAGTGCTGAACACGAAGGTTAGACCTTTTCCGGGAAGAGCATCCGGACATGGGCTGCGCTCAGCTCTTCCCCTGAGGGGGAGTGCCGAGCACGAAGGTTAGACCTTCATCCGGGAAGAGCATCCGGACATGGTCTGCGCTCGGCTCTTCTACTGAGGAGTAGTGCCGAACACGAAGGCTAGACCTTTATCCGGGAAGAGCATCCGGACATGGCCTGCGCTCGGCTCTTCCCTCGAGGGGGAATGTCGAGCACACATGTCGGACCTTGTTTGCAAAAAATTCCATTTCATTTAATTCAATCATGGTGTTGCGGGTTCCCTTTCTCAGGCCCGTGTACATTCGAAATTTATTGATAAAAAACTTAACCAAGTTCTCAGCATTCCAAGTCCTTGGCACATCCCCTCCACTCGGCGTCTGCAGGCGGAACGTTGAGGGGCCTACCACTTCTTTGATGATGTAGGGGCCTTCGTAATTCTTGGCAAATTTTCCACCTTCCAGGGGGCGGCTCACGGACCTCTTGCGCAGCACCCACTCTCCTTCGATGAACCCCCGTGCGCGCACACGCCCGTCATGGTAGCTCTTTACCTTCCTTCAGTAATTCTCTGCTCGTATGAAGGCTGCTTCTCGCCTCTCATGCACAAGATGGAGCTCGGCTGCCAGGGCTTCTTCGTTACGCTCGGGGTCGAAGATCTCCTCCCGGTGGGTTGCGATGGAGATCTCTGCAGGAGCCATCGCCTCGAATCCGTAGCAAAAGGCGAAGGGGGTTTCCTGGGTCGCCCTTCTAGGCGTGGTCCGGTAGGTCCATAGGATGTAAGGCAACTCCTCTGCCCACTCCCCTCTGCAGGCCTCCAACTTCCGCTTCAGCCTGTAGACTATCGTTCGGTTGGCGTTCTCGACCTCTCCATTTGTCTGTGGGTACCCAACCGACGCATAGCTATGCTTGATCCCCCAGCTCCCAAGGAAGTCGTTAAAGGGCTTGGACTCGAATTGTGTCCCATTATCCGTGATTATGTGCTCTGGAACGCCGAAGCGGCAGATGACTTGCTTTGCGAGAAACTTCTAGCATTGAGCTCTGGTGATGCTTGCCAATGGGGCTGCTTCCACCCACTTAGTGAAATAGTCAATGGCTACGATGACGTACCTCACGTTCCCGGTGCCCCTAGGGAGTGCACCCACGAGATCCAACCCCCACCGCGCGAACGGGATGGCTGTGCTGATGGGGGTGTTGTTGGTTGAAGGCCTCCCTGGTACCTTCTGGAACTCTTGGCACACTTTACACTTCTTTACGAACTCCGCGCAATCCTTAACAATTGTTGGCCAAAAATATCCTTTAAGGGTTATCTTCCTTGACACCGCGTATGCTCCTTGGTGGGTCGGAGCAGATTCTGGCGTGCACCTCCTCCATGACTTGTTTCACTTCGGCTGGTCGGAAGCACCTGAGTAGCGTCCCGTTGTATGCTCGCTTGTATAGCTTCTCGCCTTCCAAGGTATACCCCGGTGCCCTTGTTTAGACCAACTTGGCCTTCATTGATTCGTCTGGGAGGGTGCCATCCTTCAGGAAGGCGACTATGTCGTCCGTCCAATCTCTGGGCTGAGCACAGATCATTGCCATGGGGAAAGCATGGATGCTCGGCTCGGACAGCTCTTCCACATTCGCCATTCGTCTGATGTGCTCGGGCATGTCTGAGCTCAGCTTCGACAAGATATCCGCCTCGGCGTTCTCCGCCCGAGGGATCTGCTCGACACTATACGCGGTGAAAGTTTTAAGTAGTTCTAGGGCCGTATCTGTATATTTTTTCATTCTTTTGTCCTTCGCTTCGAACTCTCCCGACACATGGCCAACCACCAACTTCGAATCACACTTTATCCTTAGCTTCGTCGCGTTCATCCCGGCTGCCAGACGTAACCCGCACAAGAGCGCTTCATACTCCGCCTCATTATTTGATGCCTTGAAGCCGAATCGGATTAAGTAATATGCTCTGAAGCCTTCGGGAGCGATGACTACCACTCCATCCCCCGAGTTTTTGGTGGCGGAGGAGCCGTCGGTGAAAACTGTCCACCAGTCGTCGGCTTCAAGTTCCGGGCTCGGCTCTTCTCGGGCGGTGCATTCTACCACGAAGTCGGCCGGCGCTTGGCCCTTGATCGTTGGCCTTGGCTTGAACTCGATCTAGAAGGCTCCAAGGAACACCGCCCACTTGGATATACGAGAGGGCGCGTTCGGACTCCTGAGCAACGCACCTATAGGCTGCTGGGAAAGTACCTGAGCTCGGCACCCCTCAGCGTCTTCGCCGTGTAGTACACTGGGTGCTGAGCTCCGCCTTCTTCTCGGACTAAGACCGAGCTTAGTGCATTGGGTGACACTCCCAAATAAAGATATAAGGTCTCTCCGGGCTCGGGTTTAGCGAGGACCGGCAGAGAGAGGAGATAAGATTTCAGAGACTCAAAGGATTGCTGGCAGTCTTCCGTCCACACGAACCCTCGGGACTTCTTCACAGCTTGGAAGAATGGAGCGGCTCGATCCGCTACCTTGGAAAGGAAGCGGCTGAGCGCAGCCAACTTTCCAGTCAAGCGTTGCACATCCTTGACATTTCGTGGAGCTTCTATGTCAAGAATGGCGCGCACCTTCTCGGGGTTGGGCTCAATACCGCGCCTGCTCACCATGTGTCCCAAGAACTTACCGCCTTGAACTCTGAACGTGCACTTCTTCGGGTTCAGCCGAAGGTTGTACTCCTCCATAATCTTGAAAACTCCTTCTAAGTCTTCCACATGGGTGGTTGCCTGCTTGCTTTTCACAATCATGTCGTCGACGTATGCTTCCATGCTCTTCCCAAGGACGGGCGCGAAGAGCTTGCTCACCATCCTAGTGTAGGTTGCCCCGGCGTTCTTGAGTCCAAAAGGCATCACCTTATAATAATAAACTCCGCCGGGGGTAGTGAAAGACGTCTTCTCTTCGTCTTCAGGGTGCATTCAGATTTGGTGGTACCCGCTGAAAGCGTCCATGAAACTCATGAGCTCGCAACCCGCCGTCTCATCCACCAGCTGGTCGATGTTTGGGAGTGAGAATGGATCCATGGGGCATGCCTTATTTAGGTCGGTGTAGTCCACACACATCTTCCAGGTATTTCCTTTCGGAGCCAACACTACGTTCGCCATCCATTCCGGGTACTTAACTTCTCTGATATGCCCAATGCTTTGGAGGGTGGTCACTTCCTTGGAGACGAACTCCCTCCGCTCGGACGAGAGGAAACACTTCTTCTGCTTTACCGGCCTAGACTCCGGGTCGACCGCCAACCAGTGACATATGATCTTGGGGTCCACCCCCGGCATATCCCCAGGTCCCCACGCGAAGATCACGCGGTAGGCGGCGAGCACTTCCACCAAGCGCCTCCGCTGGCTCGTCGTTAGGCTCGCCCCGACCTTAACCTTCCGCTCGGGCACTTGTGGGTCGAGCGGCACTTCCTCGACTTCCTCTGCGGGCTCGGCCGAAGGCCGAGCTTCCAGCTTGCGCATTTCCTCTTGCGCGTGTACGACCAGTGTCTCATCCCTCGGCAACTTCTTCGTGATTCTTACGTAGCACGATCGGGCCAACTTTTGGTCTCCCCTCGCCACCCCGATGCCAGACGGAGTGGGGAACTTCATGCATAAGTAGTACGGGGAGATCACACATTCCAAGTCCTCAAGGTCGGGCCGCCCTAGGATCATGTTGTGCGCACAGTTGATGCTCACAACCATAAACTCCATCTTCAGCTTCGCCTTGTGCGCACCATCCCCTACTATCACGGATACGGCGATAACTCCCTCGGCCTCGATGGAGTCCCCCGTGAATCCGGAGAGAGGAGTGCGCACAGGCCTCAAGTCCTTGCGGTTCAAACCGAGGTCTTGGAATGTTTTCTCATACATTATATTGACTGAGCTTCCCGTGTCCACCAAGGTGCGGTGTACTATGGCGTCGTTGATCTCTATCTTCACGACTAAGGCATCCCAGTGGGGACTCGGCGTGTTTGGAAGATCCTTCTCCGTGAATTGGATTTGCTCTCGTCTTCCGAGCTTGGGCGTCGGCGCCTGATGGACCTTGGTGACAAAGGCCATGTGCTTCCACCTCTTCCTTTGAGCGGCGGAGTCCCCGCCAATGTTTCCCCCATGGATAAATCCCACCAGATATCCTTGGGCTTCGGCTTCGTTCAGATCGTCGCACTCCCGCCCGATGTGCCTCTTCTCCGGGTTCCTTGCCTGCGTCGCCACTGCGATTGGCTCAGTCGGCTTCCTCCAAGTTCTTCCTTCCGGCGACCTCCGGGAGGGGGTAGCCGCGTCGTCTCGCGGAAGCGGCCCTCGGGCGATGAGTCGCTGCATTTCCTTCTGGAGAGTGAAGCATTCCTTAGTGTTATGAGTGTTGTTACGATGGTACTCGCAATACTTAGTTCCGCTGGACACCGCGTAAGCCTCTACGTGGGGGAGCGGGGAAAGGGAAAGCTCTCGACCCGCCCCCACGGGGGCGCCCACGGAGTATACTCCGACCGAGGACGTCCTCGGGCCCGCGGTATAGTCTTTCTTCTTCTTCCTCTTCTTCGCGGTCTCTCCCGAATCCGCTGGAGCACGCTTAGCCGGCGCGGCCTCGGATTCTGGGGCGTCATCGAACTCCTCCGAGGCTAAGAACTTTGCGCGCGCCAAGGTCTCTTGGTACGTGGGGGGAGGATTCTTGCGGAGCTCCTTCCTCACCTCTCCGCGGGGAAGGGCTGCTTGGAACATGGCAACCAACGCCTGGTCATCCGCCCCATGCACGTCTCTGGCTTCCTTCTCCCACCGGACTATGAAGTCGTAGACCTTTTCTCCCTTGCGGATGCATATGTTGAGCAGGTGGGAATAAGGCAGCCTCTGCCTTCGGTTGGCCGCGAAATGCGTCAAGAACTTCTCCGCGAGCGTATCCCAATCGTCAATGGTTCCCTTTGGGAGCCGGTTGAACCAATCTCACGCGGAGCCCTCTAGCGTCGCGAGGAAGCACCTGCACTTGACCTCGTCCGGGGCTGCCGCCGCCTCCATCGAAGCATAGAACTTTGACAAATGATTCTGGGGGTCCGTCGTCCCGCTGTAAGCCTTGATCTGCCACGGACGGAAGTTTGTCGGCAGCGGAACTGACATCACCCTCGGTGTAAACGGGGTTACCGTGCGCAAGATGGGCTGGCTGTAGGGGGACTTTGTCTCTACTCGGCGTTTGAGCTCGGTAATCTCGCGTGCAAGCTCAGTCATACCCCGTTCAGGGACCTTTGTCTTCTCGGTTCTGGTTGGGCTCTGGCGACGCTGAGTTCGCTCTTCCCTTCGGCCTTCGGTTCGCTCAGGTCTTGCCGAGCGCGCATCTGAGGTCGCTGATTCCTCGGCGTTCCTCCGCCTGCCTTCGGAGATCTGCCGGCGAAGATCACCTAAGCGGCCTTCCGTTCCGCGGTTGAGCCGGTCGAATGCCGACACTCGGGTTTCCTCGCCTCCCAAGCGTTTGAAGGCCGAGACTCTACACTCACTAGACTCATCGTCCTCCCCTTCTGGGACGTCCTCCACCAACACCTCCTCGATCATCGGGCCCTTGCCGGGCCTCCTCCTGCTCCTCCGAGTCTTCTTCCCCTTGTGCTGGGAAGTGGCAGCGTGCTCGATGTGGTGACCGAGCGGAGCTTTGCCAACCCCGGCACCGGGCACGTTCCCACCCATGGCGGAAAGTGCCGCAACGGCCGCCTGGAGCTGCTCCGTGGTCACCCCCAACCCGAACAGCGCCTGGACCGCGTCCGGAGTCGAAGCGATGCCACCCGTGCCGTTGCCGCTGCCCGGAGCGATCTCCTCGCCGCCGACGTGGCTGGTGGTGGGAACGTTGCTCCTGGTTTGCACCATTCTCGCGTTGAGGAGTTAACCTACGAGTATGTTCCTCAGCTCTCAATGAAAGCACCAATTTGATGGTTGAGAACCACCGAGAATGAAGAATAATATAAGTTTTAGAGAGAGAGAAAGAGAAAAGTAGGAGTTTATTCGTTTCTAACTTGGATCCATTACAATGAGGGGTCTCACCCCTTTTATAGGGGATACAATACACATAGTCAAAGTTTCTCTGATCGAGGTTCGTCGCCTAGCGGACGTCATCCCTGTTATGCGTTGTCCCTTTCATCCCGTCGCTGTCGCGCAGTCAACGTGGTCGGTCGCTATCCGGCAGTCGCTATCACGGTCCCCAGCCGAGCTCGCTACCCGAGCCGAGCCCATAGGGCGAGCCGAGCTCATGGGCCGAGCAGAGAAGATCCTCCACGTGGCTGATGGGTCCCGGATGACGTGTCTTTTGGGGTCGTCCTCCATCAATACAAATAATAAGAACATCATTTATCCCACACAGAAATGACATAGGGGTACAATTGTCGATCATATAAGTTTTCACGAAAACATGTTGCAATTGTAACACTCTTTAAAAAATCTGTTTGTAGTAGGTTGGTAAACATGCGAGAAAGTAAGAGTTGCATTATTAAAAACTTCTAATACGGCATTCAATTTTTCAACAATAATAAATTCATTCAAATGAATCATATAATGAAGTTCATTCCTGAGAAATGCAGCAAGTTCGTCTTTGTAGCTTAGAATTTGTGCAATCAACTTATATGTATTATTCCATCTAATTGTGACATCTTTAACAAATGTTATTGCTTTTCTTTTCTTAGATTTACAGTACAACTTCAACGCTTTCATATTAATATGACTACTCCAAATCTTTTTAACCCACCTCTAATATTGATTAAAACTTACTCATAGCTTATAATCTCTGTTGAACAAATAAATTTAAAACATGACAGACACGCATTTGATGTAGAAATCTACCCATGGTGCTAATAGGGGGCAAATTTCTCCAAGTATAGGAATAGCAGCAGTATTATTAGTAGCATTGTCAAAACCAAATGCAAAACATTTTATCAAGTAAATTGTATTCTTGGAGGATATGCTCAAACAATAGAAAAATGTTATCAGCAGTATGAAATTCATTGAAATCACAAAATGCAAGAACAAGTTTATGCATAATTCAATCACTATCTATCCAATGACAATTAACACCCATATAAGACATTATGATATGCGTCACTCCAAATATGAGAACAAATAGAAACATGAGAATTAAAAGTGAGAAACAAACTTGCCAAATTCATTTTTTCAACTATATATTGTCTAATAGTGTATCTCTTAATTGGTTTTCTTCAAAAATCACTTGCTTGAGGGTTTAATGCATTTTGACAATAATCAATAAATCCATGTTTTTTAGGAAATATGTATAGAAAATTTTCTTTATAAATCATTTCGACTATTTTTTGCTTATTTTTCTCATCGCTATAAGCAAAAAGGCCACCCTTACCCTCGTTAGGTAGCAAATCGAGATATTAGGGTTTGCACTTCTTGTCGTCCCTTCTTTTTCACCACGTATTTGGCATACTCCATGGGGTGCCTCACTCTTAGATGTTTTTTTGGACCACCATAACCCTCGCAAATTCCCATTTTTATGATGGTCTGATCCCACAGTATTTACACGTTCCTAAAACTTGCTTTTTGTATCTTTTGAAAATTGATAAATAAAAAATCAGATTTATATATTTTTTTACCTTTCCCCGGACCTTTAGAGGTCTCGGGCTCAACTGCCTCCTCGTCAGCGTCGGTAGGATCGTTGCTCTCGGGTGTAGGCTCCATGTTCTCTTCTGCTTCATCAATGTCCTCGAATATATCTTCAACAGTTTGAAGATTGGCATCCGTCCTACCTCCCAAATACTGTTCAAATTCTTTATCCGTCATACCGTCGCCCACGAATTGATTAGAGATAGAAGGGAAGGAAGAGACGAGTGTCTTCCTTGAGAACAACATGAGCTAGAACCTTCGGAGGTGGCTTTAGCTTTGCTTTTCCTCGAACCTCGGTTCACAACGCCCATATCTATAGACCTTTTAATATATTTTCATATTCATAAAAAGGACTATATATTTAAAATATTAATGATATAATATCTTTGAATTTCAAAATTATAATATTAATTTCTAATAATATAATATATTAATAATATATGAATATATGACTAAAAATTTGATATGAGTATATATTTATATATTATATAATATATATTATTATATGAATATAAAATATATAAAGAGAGATAATAGAGAGGAGGATATTGAGAATTTGAGATTTGAGAATGTGAGAGTCTTAGAGTGTGATTTTAAAAAAATAAGATTATTTTTATAATAGTTAACCCCCCAAACCCCCAACCCCCCCTCACTCAAATGGCATTATGGCCATTGAGCGAGGCTCCCCGCGGCCCACCTCTCCTGCAAAAGCAACGGTCAACAAAAGAAAAAAATTGAAAACGGTACTAGAATCGGTACCCGTACCGCTGGTGCCGGTACCGAAAAATTGGCACCAAAATTGATACCGTGCGGGACGGTTCCGACACCAGTTCCCAGAACCAAACAACCGTGTCCGTCGCCGGTCATAGTGGTGGAATCGGCGGTACCAGTGCCGGTAATGGTACTGTATCAGTACCGTGTCCAGCCCTAGGTGTGGGTGGGGTTTTAGTATTAGGAAGTGGATGAAGGTAAAAGAGTCTTTATGCTGTGCTTATAGATATTAAACATGGAAAGTGGACGAATTTGATAACAACATCGAAACAAAGGGAGTACAAAATAGGGGTATAAACGAATATTAATCGAATTGGATGTGCCATTACCAGATCTGTATCTGTTTATTTTTATCAGATATCAAATTCGGATATGGATCTTAACAGATACTAAAAAAAATCAAAATCGTATCCACATCCGTCGGATATCCGATCGATATTGGATATATCCTCCGTTTCCAATTCTTCAAGTTAAATAAAAAATACTATAATTTTGAATTAAATTATAGTCAGAATATTATTTATTCAATTGTAATTTGTTATAGAGTAAGTTTTTCTTATTTTTTTATAATTTATAATATTCTACGACAACTCCATATGATAAAAAAATATATACACAATACACATATACCCATATTTTTATGTCTCTACACATATATTTTGCATATAAAAATGTTTTATACTTTGAAATGTCAATAGAAAAAAAAATAATAATTAAAAATTAGGAAAAATTATATATAACAGATCGGATATACGCATAAACGGTTACTTAAATGCATGCCTATGCGGAGCGAATTATAAACGGATCAGATGTATGATTACCAAATTCGTATCCGATTACCAATCGGATATCCTTACTCAGATACGGATAATTACCACTTTTAATGAATGCAAATATATTTTGTATAAACGGATACGATGCGAACAATAATCTAATTTTCAATTATCCATTTACAAAAGAAAAGGTAAAGTGATTTTGAATTGGGGAGGCACCAAGCCCGAACCGAAATAAGGCCCAATATTCGAACGCTGCAAAAAAACGAAGAAAAAGGCCCGGTACTAAATCCACCACACCTATATGAATCGAAACCCTAATCGGAACCATTCTTCTACGCCCTTCCTTCCCTTTCTTTCACTTCCGCCTCTTCCTGCACAGCGCACACACCCTCACATTTCTCTATCAAAAATGGTGAGATTCTCTACCATAATCGAAGTATAATGTGCATCTACAGTATCAAAATCTCTGCTTTTGTTGTTCTTAACAGTGAAAATTTGCTTTCATTGTGCAGCCGTTCAAGAGGTACGTCGAGATCGGAAGGGTTGCACTCGTCAACTACGGCAAGGATTATGGAAAGCTTGTCGTCATTGTGGATGTCGTGGACCAGAACAGGGTATGGCCATTTGAAATTCACTCTTTTTTCCCTGTTAACATTTTGCTTTACTGTGCTCTTGTTGCATAGCTTTTGGTTGTTTGGCGTGTTTGTTGATTCTCTGCAACGAGTGAGGGGTTTTATTTGAAGCTTATATCTGTAAATTTGTTGATTTTATATGGAATTGTTATTTTTTTCCCTTAAAAACATTGTAGCGTGTAGTGGCATTCATTGTTTCTTGCTGTAGTTCAAACTGTGTAAGAAATGCTTTGTTTTGTTCTCAGACAATTTCGTGCCATACAAGTGCACTTTTGAGTTTTTATATATTCATTAGCTATAAATATAGAAATGTGTGTGTTGATCTTGTTTATCCGTGCATCAGATAGTACTTCATCAACCATGAAAGGTTTATATCTTTGTTATCATTTGTAGTATTATATCTATTTAAGGCTTCTGATTCACTCCGTATTTCTTCAGTTTTTTTTTGATTTGGTAAACATGGATTTAACATACATTGCCACAAGAAAGTGAAGTGTGGGTTGGGGTATATGAGATTCTATGTCACTTGAACATTGTTATGGTTTTGCCCTTGAAGTGCGCCCTGTCCATCACATTGTGTATGTCTATTTGATAAGATTTTTCAAAAAAAAAACAAATAGAATAGTACAATTGCTGTCTATCTATATTATTATTGTTATACACATTAAGTCTTTTATAGTTATTCGTTAACTGTGAGTTTGAAGAATGAAAAAAATGATCCCTCACCTATTTTGAATCTGGCAGGCTCTTGTTGATGCCCCTGACATGGTAAGAAGCCAGATTAACTTCAAGAGGCTTTCTCTCACGGATATCAAGATTGACATTAAGAGAGTTCCAAAAAAGAAAACTCTTATTGCTGCTATGGAGGCTGCAGGTGGGTTTTATTTTTTTGTGTGGAAAATTTGGTATTGTTAATTTCAGTGAGTGATTTCAAAAATGTCTATGCCTGTCAGATGTCCAGGGGAAATGGGAAAAGAGCTCTTGGGGTAAGAAGCTGATTGTCCAAAAGCGAAGGGCTGAACTCAATGATTTTGACCGATTCAAGTTGATGCTTGCGAAGATCAAGGTCCCATCATACTAATATATCCAATCATGCTTCTATATTGAATTATGTTACTTAGAACTGAAGGAGGAAACAAAAAAACTTCTAAAAAGCATGGTAGCATATTTATGTAGTATTTTGTTAAAATCTAGGGAGTTCGAACTTCCAACGTAGATTGTTTCTAAGAAAGATATAACTTTTTTGCTACCTAAAGGCTTTTGAAACCCATCTTTTTTACTATGATGCGAGCATTTCGTTCTTGGAGAAGCTGAAATTTTCTTCTATTGACATTGCAGAAAGCTGCTGTTGTCCGGCAAGAGCTTTCTAAGCTTAAGAAAGCGACTTCATCTTGAGTAGTTTGGTTCCTTTGTTGCAGTGGGTTTTGTTTTGGATTTTGAAACCTGTATTTGTTTCTTTATGCAGACGTGTGTTCTGAGTTTCTTATTACAGATGATTGAGTTCATGAATTTTGTTCTTCATGGTTCCTTATTGCTTTTAAAATCATGTCTCTTTTATTACCTCTTGATTTTTGTTGCTAAATTTAAGTGTCTGATCTCTACTCTTCTACATTTGATCTCTTTCTTTGGTATTGTTTTGACTCCCAGTCTTAAGACAATAACCCCTAAAACAAGCTTTACGTAAAAGCTACGTTTTTGTTTGCAACTATTTAAATTTCACGTATCCAATGATTAATTGCTCATATACTTGTGAAAGTTGTAAAACAAAAAATGCTTCGCAACACAGAACTGTTTGGTTTTAGCAGTTTTATTACTTTTGCCCTGGCATAGTCTTTTACAACCTCCGTTCCATTTTAAATTGCCTGCTTATTTTTTTTGTCTCAAAATAAGTTGCTTGTTAGTTGTTTTCGTAAATTTTTAAGAGTAAAATACTTAAACTACCTCTAAAATAAGTCATTCTTCTTTACCTTATCTTTTCATTCATCGTTATCACTTTTAAAAAGTAATGCCAATTTTGGAAAATTAACTCTATTTTTTCTTTTCCTTAAATATGCACAAAAGTCAAAATAGACGATTTAAAATGGGACAGAGGGAGTATGTGAGTAGTTGATTGTAATAATATGGTATAGTATATTAAAATAATATATTCTACGTAAGTTTTTTGTGTGGGAGTTTTTTATCAGGAAAATCAAATGAAATTATTATTGAATAATTATAAAATTGCGTTGTAAGGTATAACTTTTAAAACTTATTAATCTCAAAATAGTTAGTAATGTCTTAGAGCATCTCTAACGTGTTAGCTAAAAACAAAAATAGCAAATATAGCTTGTACTATTCATTGTTTTTGAGCTCCAACCCAACAGTTTAATTAAAACCTATCTTCTATTATAGACACCGTATAATGTAAATATACAAGGTGCTACAGTAACTTCTTTTTATTATCTATGCGTTTGAGACAAAAGAATAGCAAATACTGAATATAGCACTTCATGGCTGGAGCATTTCTACTATTCATCATCTATTTTGAATTATATCATCCCAATTTTTTAGCATCTCCATTGGAGATGCTATTATCTACATATAATTTCTCTGATGCTAATTTTTCACAATGGCAAGGAAATGCCTTGCCTAGCCATGTTAGCAAATACCGTCTAAATCATCACATTTCATGATTATTCTACCCCACTTTTCATTCCAAGTGCAAGACATGACTCTTCCATTTTTTATTTTTTTAGTATTTTTAATATTTTTAATTTTTAAAAAGAAACACTTTTTAAAAGAAGTAGACATATTTTAATAATAAAATAGATGTGTAAAATATTTTTGATAATTAAAAATCATTAAAAAGTGCAAAATAGACAAAAATAATGACTTGCCAACTGTATGTTACGACACTCTACTCACTTGTCACACGGTGACTGGGTTATTTTTTACTGGTTAAAATATTCCATGTTACCGTGTGACATTTCATTTTTGTTTTGCCATTGCTAATGTTCTTAAGGGGCGTTTGGTTCCCTGGCCAGAGATTGTCCTAGAAAATACTAGAATCTAATGTGAGGAAATGAAAGATTAGAGTATAATGATTATTGTAAGGAGAGGCTAGAATATGGCATTAGATAGGAGTCTTTTGGAAGGGTAGGATAGGGTAATTGGGTAGACATTTTAAGCTAGGTGGTAGTTGATTACGGGCATGATTGTGAATAGCTTTAGAAGATAGCGTTAACATTTTGAAGAGGCTATCAACAGGTAGCGTTTAGCGTTAACATTTTTAAATTTAATCAACATCGTTAAGATTTTATTCAAAACGCTAACGCTAGTCGAAAATGTTATTCTCAAACGGACCCTACCTATATCATACATCCAGATGTACGGTGTTTTTTGTACACCTGCATGAGTATTTATTTTTGAGTAACGTAATACTCATTTTCGAGTAACCGAATATTTATTTTTGAACGTAACTAAATTTTAGAAAAATAAGTATTCAGTTTTTCTAAAACAAGTAATCAATTGATGGAAAATGAGTAACCGGATAATTGTAAATGAGTACTTGCCGCGGATGTACGAAAAACATCGTACAATCGGCTGCACAATATATATTGGAGTAGTAGTTCATGCTTTTGTAGTATGCTTTGTATGTGTAGTGTTTTTTTATTTCGATATTTTGCTTCTATGCTTACTTATGGCTTGTGCTACTTGATTTTTATGCTGTTTGATCTGGTGGTCTCTTGGAAATAACCTCTCTACTTTTTGTGCTTTGGGTGTTATTTGTGATATTTTCTATGTGCTCCTTGAGTTAGAGATCTCTTGAAATTAGCTTCTCTACTTTTGGGTAGGGACAAAGTTTGTGTGCACACACTCTTAGAACCTATGATGGGATTCAATTGAGTTTTTTCGCTAGGAGAAACTAGAACAGTCAAAATCATAAGAAGATAATAGAGCAATAGTTAGGAAATTATATATTGTATTACTCCACTCATTCCATTTTACATTGCATGTTTTTTATTTGTCCCAAAATTTTCTCTTTTACGGAAAATACAATATGGTTAGATTGTTTTTCTCTTCTTTGTACCAATATCAATTACCATTTACCACTACATAGATTTCACTTTATTATTAAAAGGTGTGTTTAGTGAAATTAGATAATGTAAAATCAGACAAGATATATAGTGAAGAACCACACAAAAGAAGTATAGTCACCTAGATGATAAAAGTACATCAAGATAATGAAGTAAGATGAACACCCCTCACTCTAACCCACTTATTTTGACTAAAATATCATCTAAATATGATGGTGCACTTAGGTGGAAGGGGTTGGTTAGTAGGGGGCAGCGTAAGTGCCCGATGTTATAATGACAATAATCATTGGGGTTCATAGAAAATGAGAAAAGTCTGGAAGAGGTTTTTGAATTCTCGAACTCACTCTAAAGACTCTAAACTCAATCTATCTAATAAAAATGAGACACTTGTATTCAATAACAATTGTTTTATTAAAATCAAAATTAGTTATAATTATGTCTACTTATAAAAATGAAGCCATTATACATTTCAATATGATATGTCTTGTAATGTAATTTTAATTTGTTGTGCTTTGAATTTTATTATGTGAATTTATTTTTATGTGTGTTTACTTAAATGATTTTAATGAAATACAATTATTTTATTTTATGTATTTTATTTGTGTTATTTTTATACTCCATCCGTTTGCAAAAAGACTTCCCATTTTAATTTGGGGCAAAAATAAGGAAGTGTTAAATTATAGTTGATTTCCAATTTATTAGAGAAAAAGTATGATGTGATAGGTAGGGTATGAAAAACTAAGGGTAAAAGTGGTTTTTTAATAGAAAATGGAAGTGTTTTGTTGGAAGTGGAAAAAATGAAAGAGGAAGTGTTTTTGAGAACGGAGGAAGTATAATTTTTTCTAATTTCTAGTTGATTTTTTAAAGGTGAATTATATTTATAAAAAAAATTTGTAAATAAATCAATGTAATTTATAATTATGTACTCCGTATTAGACAACTGATTGAATAGAAATAAAAATCAATAAAATACGGAGTAAAAGATAGTGAAATGTTGATTTAGTATGGTATGAAAGAGCCGGAGACTTGAGATATTTTTTCTAAAAGTCTAGTGAATAGTCTAAAATACAAAAATGATTATTTGGCAGAGTTTAAAAGAGTCTCAAGACTCCATGGATCAGGAATGCCCTAAAACATTAAGACATCTCAACTTGATTCAAACTTTATTAGAGTATAAAAGAGACTTCAACTTATTGTTGTCATGTTAGTCACCAAACATCATTGATCTAAAATGTGTTTGATCTTGCTTTATTTAAGGTCTATTTGGGCGACGCCTTGAAAATCAAGGTATAATTTCAAGCCTAATATTTTTTTATAACTTTAAATCATGATTGTCTTTTTTATTTTAAAAGTAAAAATTTTAGAGTCATTGAGGGAAGAAAAATGGATGCACAATTGTAAATGCTAAAAAGAGGGAATAAAATAGGACACTTTTTTTTAAACCAAATCTATCTGGTATAAAGTGAAAATAGTTTTGTGAAGATATATGCATCAGTGTTAATGGAGCAAAAAATGTCATTCTTTACAAAGTTTTAAATTTGGATAAATAATGAATAAATTCAGAATTTCTTGATGAACTTCCTTTCTTACTTCTATGAAGTTTTGAGTAATAAATGCATTAAAGGTCTAAAAACAATCTCTATTTTATGAAGGATAAGTTTGTATTTATCTTATGCCTGCAATGAAAGCCCCAACAAATGTGTAATTCATTCAAAAAAAAGTGTAATTGAAGCAGTCAATATTCTCAAATAAAATGTGAACCATCATTGTGTAAACAGGTATTAGGGAAAGATTAAAACTCTGATCAAGTAAAAGAATGTGTTCTCTTATATATGGACTATATATGAAAAACTGAAAAGATATCTTCACAGCATTTTCTACTTCAACATGCCAAGCAACCCCCCAAAAAAACAAGTAATTTTAACCTTATAATCTACCTAAAAACAAGAGAATGGCCAGAGAGCTTATAAATGAAAGAACTCTAAATAAATCTATCTGTGGGAAAAAGAAAGAATAAGAAGAAAAAAAAACTCTGCATCTCATAAATACTGCTGTTGGATCCTAGCTCTGTTCTCTTCCCACCACAATCTTGCATGCATTTCCCCGAATATTTCTCGGCTGCACCAAACACACACGAATCCGTTTAACACACATTGTCGGCATACCTTTCTTTTTTTGCATCACGGTATATGCTAGAGAACGAAGCAATAATAGATAGTTCGAGGTAAAGTTGTTTTCTTGTGTTTGGTTTTTACATCAGAAAGTGCAAAGAAATCAACAAACTGGGTTGCAAGGGAATGGAGGAATCTCAAGGAACTGACCTGAACCGAACACGCTTAAGCTCCCGAGAGCCACCTGGCAAAGCTCTGATAGTGATGTAGACTCCAGGCTCGTCTTCCTCAACCCATTCGGTTTCCATGACATCTTCACTGCCAACATTGCTCACCGAGCGACAACTGCTCCTTCCAGAAGCATCAATTGAAGACGACGTTTCGGCTTTGATGATGCTAGTGAGCTTTGGGGTAGGATGGTGTGAATCATGTTCCAACGACTCTGATGAGTTTCGACTCATTCTTGTTGGATGCCGGCGTGGGTGTTCCTTGCTTATGGAAGAGGTCATTGGGCTCCCCTCCTCACCTTCAAGTTTTGAGTTCTGATGATGGAAACAATTTTTTTTAAAGCAATGTTGTAAAAAATTGCGACTGCATTAAAAAATCAATTCAACCAAAAGGTCACAATAGTAATTGTAAGCTCACGAAAGGTTTCACAATGCCCGACTGTAAAAAGTTGTCATGCACTCTTCAAAATCCATAACAAGGAATGCTGATAGAACTTTCCTTAGGGGCACGTTTGGGTAATGCTCAAGAAGGTTATTTTCATCTCAGTTTTATGTTCTTCCTATGTTCTTTGTAAACACATTTTTTACAGGAAATTCTCCAACTCAGATCCTGCAGCCAAACGGAGCCTAAATCTGAATAATTATCTTTTTAATTAAAAAAACTCACCTCAACATCAGAAGCTGGCAGTGGTGCGGCCGGGCGATTGAACCTCTGCACATTGTACAATTCCATGACTTTATCATAATTCTCTGCCCACCATCTTTGTGCTTGCCGTTTGTTAAACATATCCCGGCTAACATAAAGGCAATGTTTTTATCAATCAATCAAATCTCACCCATCAAACTTCAATGGAAATATAATATCATCACACAATATATATTTGAAACATTCCAAATAAACATCAATCAATTACTACCTCTTGTCCCATACAAATGTTGTGTTTGACTTTTCAAGGAGTTTAAAAATTGTTGAAAATTGAAAAAAGTGCAATTGGAATTTGTTAAAGAAAGTCAAAAGATTTTTCTAGGACGAAAAAAGAACGAGTTAATTTTTATATTTTTTGTGGGACGGAAAGAGTACTCTATGTATAGTCTAAAACTGTGCACCAGCATACTATAATAAGTGAAGACAAATTGAGGCACCCAAAAAAAACCACATTTTTACTTACACATTGGAGGAAATAAAAACTGCAAAAATTTATATCACATCAAATTGTCTCAACTCTCAAATGTAAATGGTTTGGACTCATATGAAATGTTTCACTAATACTGTTCTATCATCTACTGTATCGATCTTCTTCTCAACCAATTTTTTTCTATGGAAAAAGTCAGCATTTACTGACTCTCCTTTTAATTTCTGCATCATGTGGGGCACACAGCATTCATAATTAACACGTTATATTGGTGGGATGTATTCAATCTTCTGTTTGAGCACATTGTTCTAACAGTTTGTATGTTGAGTAAAAATCCAAACATTTGCAAATTGCAACAAAAGAGTCCTCAAGAGAACAAACTCTTTTAAAAGATGAGCATCATCCCCGTGGGTTTCCTCGGAACTGGCCGAACAGTCATCTGGGAGGAGGTATATTAAGTTTCCACTTCCCTCCATGAGTATTTGTCTAATTTTGACTTTTTAAAGTCAACTATTTTTGACCTTTGACTTCGAATTAAATATAGATTATATGATATAGTAGTATTAGTTAGATAAAATAATATTATAAAAATATTGTATAAAACAAATGTAATAAATTTATTTTTGTTTAATATCTAATACCAATTTTAATTAATTAGTGGTTAAAATTTGTCAATTTTGACCGCAAAAAATCAAAGCTGGACAAATACACAGAAATATAGGTAGTATAATCACAGACTCACTAGCAAAGAATAGAGTCTGCATTTTGTACTTGTATATGCTCTATGCTTATCATAATTACCTCATAGCACGCCTACCACGAATCGAATTTGAGTTTATTTCTTTTGTCATTTCTTGTTCAACTAGTTAAGCTACTCCACTGGCGAATTTGAGTTGCTTGATTGATTGTTTAGAGTGTTTTTATTATTTCAAAGCTAAAACATGATTGTTTCAACTAGATACATACTACGTAGTAAAATTTTCAAAAACATGAATCAACCCGTTAGTGCCGGTTCGGGGGTGGGCCGAGTAGTCCTACCTATCAGGCCCATTTTTCTTGGGGGCCTAGTATTTTTATATATAACACGAACACATGTTTCCCCTATTTTAAAAAATGGAATGTCATAGGTGGTGGTCGAACCCAAACACCTTCGGGTGATAGCACATAACTCACCCACTTGAACTACAAAATTTGTTATTTCTAAATTTACGCATAAGTTTATATGTTAGGGTATTGATTTGAACTTCAAGTTTCATTTGAAACGTCTATTGATTCAATTCACTCCGTATTAGTTTTTTTATAAATTATTGTTTAGGGAAAAAAACTAGTGCATTAATCATTGCTAATATGCCACCAAATTAATGATTCGTGATTATTTTTTTGTTTGATTTTTGAAACTTTCACTGATTGTCTTATTCAAGAATCAGTGAAGTATTGTTTTGAAAAAAAATAGTAAATCACTAATTTACAATATAAGTTTATACTCGGTACGAAGTATAATTCAATTAGTCGGGGTTAAGGATCAATTTTTCTGATCTCGTGTCGGGCAATAGAATTCTCCGGACGGGCCTTGCAACCTGTCTCCCACGATATTTTTCAATTAATTTTTAAATATATGAGATACTCAATTATATTCCGTACGTACTAAATAAAACCATTATATGTATACTCAATATTAATTTAATAAAAGTAATAGAAAAAAACAAAATTTTATGGAATGTGACCAGAAAAATGGGGGGTGTAAGTTTTTGAAATATGTGACTATAAATAACTTTAAATTATTTTTGGCTTAGTGAATGTTACATTAACTAGCCTATAAATTTACGTTTCCTATGTTTTCATTTTTAGAGTGGAATAACATAAAATAATTAGTTAATTTATTAATAAAAAAAGAAAAAAGACTTTCGGAAACCGAAAAGGAAAACGGGTCAGGAAAAAGTACCTGAATTGGATCCTCTTGAGCCCATTCCCACCAAGAGGCAAAGAGACGAAGGTTATGAGCACTCCAGGCTCAACCTGAGCAATCCATTCCTTACTCTCCTCCTCCTCCTCCGCCGCCGCCGACTCAGACCGCCCGCTTACCGATGCCGCCGGCGTCCCTTCTCCGCCTCTCTCCGCTTCCTCCCCCCATATCCTCTGCGTCGGATTCGAACTCCCTGTCCTTCTATACGCGCAACGAACCCTCTCCGAAGCAATTCCCGCCTCCGATTCGACGTGGTCCCGGCGGCGGCTCTGGCTGTTGCTCGGCCCCTTCGAACAAGGGTTACTGCAATGCTTATACGCCCCCGAAGCTCTCACCGCCATGTCCTTAATCTACCGGTTTCAACCGCCGCCGGAAAACAAAATCGACGAATAATTTCTCATTCAAACCAGAAATAAATTCAATTACCGCCGGGAAACTAAATGCCGGAAAACGGAATACGCGAATGTACCTGAGCCGTGAGCGCTTTGATGGCTTGCCTGGTGCTGGGAGTAGTGACGGCGTCGTCTTCGTCGGGTTCCGGAAGAGATCCGGCGTCGAGCTGCTTCGAGCACGCAATACACGTCAGCATTCTCCGATTTGCTAAACCTAATCTGCAGAAATACTCGCCGGAGAAAGCAGAGGACTCGCAAAAACTGTCAAATCCGCTTTACGCGTGAGGAGAACTGTGCGTTTCTGGTTTCCGGTTTGGACAGAAGAGAGAGAGAGAGTGTAGATTCGTAGGAGATATTGAATGGAGTTTTTAAGGTCGAGAAATGGGGCGTTAATGGCGGACGGCTATACAGTAGCATACGCAGATTCGTATAAAAAATGGGAAGGAGACATGAAAATCGTTTTATATTTTTATTTATAGAAAATAACATTAATGAGGAGAGATTGTGTTATTTATGTCTGTGCAGTGTTTTGGCTCTTTGCTTAATTTCAAAAAAAAAAATTAAATTTAAAAACTAAACTGCATATTATGGGGGAAGTAATTTTAATGATTAGTAATATATATGCGGCTCCCTTTCACATAAGTACCCGTATAACTTCTCATAGATTTAAGTAAAATTCCTTAATAACATTATTTTAAATAAAATTTGATGTGGCATGTATGGTGGAAACCTTTTTTTATGCATCAACTATCCCAGCTTCGCACCTTGTAACGAAAAAGTATTCAATCTTCAACTTGAAACGAAAAGATACTGCATCTTTAAAAAATGTAATAAAAAAGTACCTCTTGCCGTAATTTGAAAAATCCAGCCAGCGAGCATACATGTGACGTTCTACTTAGCTTTCTGGTGTACATGTCACATTCTATATGGCTTCCAAATTGACTCATAATTTATCTAATACTTGATTAATTTTGTATTTAACCCATAATTCAAATATTTTTCTTGTAATGAAAATATGGAGGATATTTTATGGAAAATATTTTAATTTTATTTTTAAATCGTGCTTTCTATAAGATTTTACTTTTAAATTTAGCATTTTGAAAAAATTATAATTTATAAGATACTTCATAATTTAAACATAAGTAGCAATAACATTTTAATAATTGTCTATAATATATATTTTTAAAGATTTATTAGAAATTTTCTAAAATTTAAATTCTAAAAAATACGTATTATTATTACTACTACTACTATCATCGTCATTATCGAGGATTATTGATACGTGTAATGAATATTTATAAGTTATCTAAGTATATTTTAGAAGACATGTAATAAATATATACAAGTATTCCTATATTTAACCTTATGTAGTAATAAATCCTATATTTAACCTTATGCAATCGTGTTTATTTATCTATTAAAATTCTAACTCCAAAAGATTGAAGATATTTTCAAATTTAAATAAATAAGAAACGTTTCCCTTTAAATTACAATAAAGATAAATATTCAAAAAGTAATTGCTAGTTTGGTTTAAAATATTTTGTAAATATTAAAATATGATATTGTTGTATAAAGAAATTAAAACATAATTTTAAAATAATAGAACATCACGTACAAAGTTAATAACGTATATGAGAAGTTACAATTAATTTGAAAGTTATATGGAATGTAACATGTACACCAGAAAGCTAATTAGAACGTCACATGTAAGCTCACCGGCCAGATTCTTGAAATACCGGTAAGGAGTACCTTTTTGTTACATTTTTTAAAGATGGGTGTACCTTTTTGTTACAAGTTGAAGATGTGATACCCTTTTGTTACAAAGTGCAAAGATGGGGTACCTTTCATGAAAAAACCCGTAGAAACTTTGGTTGTTTTATTTTAAGAAGAATTATTTATTGACACAATCATATTTTAGCTTTAAAATAATAAAAATACTCTAAACAATCCATCAAGCAATCCTACTAAACATGTCCTAACCCATTTTGTTGTCTAGAAATGCTAAAGTCACAAATATTTTGGTCACAAACTAAACAAATTTCTATTTGTGCACCTCACAGAGTAAATAAAGGGTAAAATACTAAAGTAGGAATAAAATACTGAAAATTTATCAAATTAGGAGTTCCATATTTTTGTTCCTCAAATAGGAGTTAAATATATTTACAGTGTCAATCATGATCATATATACTTTACCAAAAAGTATGATGAAATATGCATATACAATGTTACATTACCACAATGTAAACTCCTATTTCAAGGATACAAACATAGAGTTTTATTTTGTTACTTTCTCTATGTTTTACTCCTTTTTAAGGTGATTTCTTGCGAATAAAATATTTTTAAAACTTATGGAGTACAATATAAAAATTTATATACACAACTGATACGTTTATGTAGTTTGTATGCAAGGTGTTTGTAACTCCTACATTATGCATTATTCTTTATATAGATCAGCCAAACTTTGTGTAGCGCCATACAAACCGGCCTAATAGTTAGCCAATATTTTAAATAAATAAATATTATTTATTTATTGAGACTCATTATTTTAATTAATAAATATTGAGATTTTGATCTCTTAAAATGATTTCCAAAGTTAAAGTTTTTTAATTATAGAAGATGTTTTAATAACGGGTCTCTCGACATTAATTAAGTAAATAAATTAATTAATGTTTGGGATGAATCCAGAAGTTTGAAAATAAAGTTTTTGGAAAAATATTTTGAAGATATCATAAATTTAGTTTTGACTGGTTAATTCCGAAAACGCAATCAGTTCTCGATTTGGATCAGTTCGGGGGAAAAGGCGTGTACCGTTCGGGATAGATTTTACACAATAGAGTGAATTTGTGGGAAGTAACTCCCCTTACCTCTCCACACGCCACACACCCTTTACTCTCCTATAACCCCCCATTCAATACCCCTTTTAATACTCCATTAATCCTCCATCAATCCTTTTGAATATAAACCCCTTCTCCCTTCACTTCCCCATCACATTTTGTAACTCCCTTACACTCTCATCACCCTCTCTCTCCCTTATCTTGTTCGGCGAAGGCAGCAAGTAGACAAGGAGATGATTCCGGCGAGTAGACGAGTAGAAAGGAAGAAGGAGGGCTACGCGAGAAGTCGTTCATTCATTCGTTCGTCCGTTCATCGTTCATCGTCATCCATCTGTTCATTTTGCTTACGTTTCATCAACCCCTTCATTTAGAAGTGAGTATATTGCCCTCTATCATTAGAATTCGTAGTTCAATCATATCGTTATGTTCATTGGATTACCCGGCTAAACATACCTGTGTGGGGATGATCACCGAAGGGCAGGGGTGTCCCTGCGCAGTCTAACTCATGCATCATGGATTATTTCGCATTGCATCACTGTTTACTCGTAACCTATTATTCATCAAACTTGTATGTGGTATCTCATACTTTGGTACAGGTACGATTATGTGTATAAGAATGTGAATGTACTATGCGTTGTACTGTTAGATTACCACTCAGCTTTTGCTGAGCGTATAGCGTTGTTTCCCTTTGCTATACGCAGGTAGGCAAGATGATCATGAAGCCTGCCCGGATGACTAGGAGATCGGGGCAGCGAATAGACGACATTGTGGACCCGACCATTTTCCATTTAATACTTAAAACTGTTTTTGGGCTCGAACCCACCGTTGTCGCATTTACTTCGTTCAAAACATAACATTTACTTCCTTTTTAATTGCTTCTGCCATGAAACGCCTTTAAGGGAATTTATTCCCATCATTTAATAAATATATCAAGGGTTTCCAGTTACAAGCAACACAAGGGTTTCCCCTGTAGACGGCCTTTAAACCGTCTACGTAACCTCTCCGGCTCGTTCGGCCGCGGTGAACCGAGTTCGTGGGACGGAGGGTGTTACATTTTGGAATCAGAGAAGTTTGGTTCTAAAAATGATTTTTGAAACCCATTTTGAACACATTTTCCTTCAGGATCCACTGTCGCATCCTGCCTCGAATCTCCATCCGGGAAGGTAACAGTTATCATTTAAGTTAGTTATTGTTATTATGCCTCTTCTTTCATAAAGTGAGTTAAACAGTGGATCACAGATAGGTAGATCCACGTAAGGGTGCTTGAGCACGTGAGCGCACATCGAAGCGTCAAACCAATTGTGTTATGCGCTCACTTGTTCCCATTTTGATACCCCGCGATTATTAGATGAGTACCATCAGTACCAGAAGCGTGTCAAGCGTTGACTCCAGTCGAACCTTCGTGCTTGGCAAGAGACGAAAGAACAAGAGGCAGAGTTACGATTCGAAGGAGCGTTACTAGCGTGCGCATCGTAAAGCGAGGATAACGAAACTCAAGATCTGGAAACGCCGGAAAGCGGCATGGGAAAGAGATGACCCTGAAGAAACATTTAGCGTGGACTCTGCCAATAGTATCTACGGCGCAGGTGTGGATATTCCTCCAGTGGACTCAACCCGACTCGACTAGTGGGTTACCTACTAACTTATGGCATAGTCGAGGTTGTAATCGATGCAACATTTTGTCCCACTTGTCTGAACCAAATAAGTTCCTTGAATGGAATCCGTCGATTTCCCTTTTATCTATTATGCCCTTGTATCCTCCACAAAACAAAGTTTTGGGTAATGCGTTATCTCCTTAAACACGTGAGGTGTGACTTGAGGAGAATTTCAGGGACGAAATTCTTTTAAGGGGAGATAATTGTAACACCCTACAAACCGGCCTAATAGTTAGCCAATATTTTAAATAAACAAATATTATTTATTTATTGAGACTCATTACTTTAATTAATAAATATTAAGATTTTGATCTCTTAAAATGATTTCCAAAGTTAAAGTATTTTAATTATAGAAGATGTTTTAATAACGGGTCTCTCGACATTAATTAAGTAAATAAATTAATTAATGTTTGGGATGAATCCGGAAGTTTGAAAATAAAGTTTTTGGAAAAATATTTTGAAGATATCATAAATTTAGGTTTGACTGGTTATTTCCGAAGACGCAATCAGTTCTCGATTTGGATTAGTTCGGGGGAAAAGGTGTAACGCCCTCAAACCGGCCTAGTATTAAATAAATAAATAAATATTATTGACACTCATTATTTTAAATTAATAAATATTGAGATTTCGATCCGTTCAAATGATTTCCAAAGCTAATGTTTTTTAATTATAAAAGATGTTTTAATAACGGGCCTCTCGACATTAATTAAGTAAATAAATTAATTAATGATTGGGATGGATCCGGAATTTTGAAAATAAATATTTGAGAAAAATATTCGGAAGATATCATAAATTTAGTTTTGACTGTCTATTTCCAAAAGTGCAAACGGTTTTCAATTCGGACGGGTTTGGGGGAAAATAGCGCGTACCGTTCAGGTCAGATTTTACCCAACGGAGTAAAATAAAGGGAGATAACTCCCCACTTAATCCACACTTCCCATTCACACATTCACACACCCATTCATTTCCATAATAAATCCCCATCATTTCTTCTTTACTCTCCTCAATTTAAAACCCCTTCTCCCTTCACCTCCTTCACCAAAACTTGTAACCCCCCAAAGCATTCACACAACTTCCTCTCTCTCCCTTCCTCTTGTTCGGCCAAGGAAGCAGCCCAGGGAAGGTCTCCGGCGAAGCTCCGGTGGGTGCACGGTTGAGGGAGAGGAGGAGAGGAAGAGTTAGGCCGTTCGTGCGAAGCGTAGTCATCGTTTCTCGTCATCTTCGTAGTTTCAACCCCTACGTTTAGAGGTGAGTAGTTGTCCCCTCTAATTCTAGAACATTTAGTTATAATCTATGTCGTTATATTCATAGGAATATTGTACGCAACCTATGTAGAATCTATGCATGTTTGTAGGTTAGCCATCAAAACGTTCACTACGTAAAACTTATATATAATGGCCTAGAAATTACTAGGAATATATTCGTCAATGTTTGTATTATTGTTCTAGAAAGAATCAAGGTGTTAAGTATTCAAAATGGATCAAAACGAAGCTAAGGACAGAGGACTGTCTCCGGGACGGTCGACCGTCGCTACGGACGGTGGACCATTCCCTCGGCCATTCCGACGGTCACCACCGTGATGGTCGACCGCCGGCCGTGACGGTGGACCGTTTGAGACCCAGACCATAGCCCACGGTTGACCGCCGGTAGGGTACGGTCGACCGTTCCTCGGGTAGATTTTCGGGCAGTTTGTAGAACGAGTCCCGTTGACCATATTAACCCAGAATCTGATCGTATGTTTGCATGAAATGTTAATCTACATTATGTAAGTTATTTAATTGATATATTCTTGGTTTTAACCAAAGGTAAATATATCAAGCATTCATCATGTTCATTTTAGACGCATGTCCTAGGTTTATCATCATGTGCATACCGCTGTAGGGAGGTCAGGCTTTCGTGTGCCTACTACAGTGGGCCCGTCCAGGAACCTTTTGGATCCAACAAGTTTTCATCAGGTGGGCTTCGTGTACGTACATAGTAGTCAGGTTACGGCTACTACCCAGTTTTGCTAGTCCACTTGTTCCCGGCTCATTACCGTTTCGGTATGACAACCGAAGTGCAGGGGTGATCCTGTCAAGTGAGGCTAAGCCTGTAACGCCCCGAAATCTGGCCCAAAAGAATTAATTAAATTGTTAGAGCAACTGATTACGAATTGGGCCCAAAAAGGGGTTAAAATTATAATTTGGATTTTAAGCCCAACTTTTATGTCATCTCGTAGGAAATATTTTTGTGATTGCGTCGGTTCAGACGGCTCGCGAATCGGAGTTATGGAGCTCATGTTATGACTATTTAATCATGTATTTTGGGTCCGTAGCCCAATCCTTTTTGGAATGGGACCATTAAATAAACCTAAACCTATTTTGAACCGCACGATCCTTATCCTTCTTTTCCTTTTTCTTCTTCTTCTTCTTCTTCTTCTTCTTCTTCTTCTTCTTCTTCTTCTTCTTCTTCTTCTTCTTCTTCTTCTTCTTCTTCTTCTTCTTCTTCTTTCTTCTTCGTCTTCAACAGCCGGAAGTCCGCCGCCATCATCGCCGCCAGTCGCTGCCCATCCTTCGCCGGAAGTCCGTCGCCTCCCCTACCGGCGACCACCATCATCGCCGTCGAGTCCAATCGCCGCCACTGTTTTCTTCGACGGTCGTCCGCCGCCGTCGAGTTGCAGCGCCGCCGGTCGCCCTTCCCCAGCCAGTCGCCGCCGCTGCTTCCTTCGCCAGTAGCCGCCGCCCTCATCGCCGACGAATTGCAGCACCGCCACGCCGAGCGCCGGACGTCGCCTCCACTGCCGGCGTCCTTCCTCGCCGACGAATTGCAGCGCCGCCAGTCGCTGCTCATCGCCGTCGAGTTGCCGCTTCGCCACTGTCGCCGGCGTCCGTCACCATCGCCGCATCCAGCCGCTGCCCCGAGTTGATATCGCCGGCAGATTAACCTCCACGCCGAATTGATTGGTTGATTTCGCATTTTGACTCAATTTGACCCGTTCATTTGATTTCGTTGATTTGTCTTCCGTTCGAGCTACCGATTCGATTTCGGCCTAATCCAGGTCCGTACTATGAAGTTAATAGCATTTAGAATAGATTTAATGGTTCGGATCGTTATATGTGTTTATGCTATAATTTGGCTAAATTGGTTAATTGAATTAAATTGATTATTTGAATTGAATTGTTGAGGATTATGGATTGACTGAACAGGTTTGACTTTGACTTGGGTTAGGTCGCGTTTGACTTAAGCTTTGACTGGATATTCTGTCGACGTAGGTTTGACCGAATGGTTAAATCCAAGACTTTAATGAATTAGTTAAGTTAATTAATTAATTCTAATCGGTGTAATTCCAGTTAACCAAATAACACTAACTTGTATCTTTGACCGGTAACGAGCCCGCCGACGTCCCGGACCAGTCACTCCAATTCTGCACGCGTGCTCCCAGACACTAGAACCCAAACTCCGTATCGCCCGAGGGATCCTACCTCCACCGAATTGAGGCTATCTTCGGTATTACGGATTGAGGCTATCTCCGTCATAGGCGTTAAATGTTAAGTGGTTTGACTTTGGTGAAAGTCTAAATTGGTTTGACCGGTGGTCAACGAGTTCATGAGAAACCCGTAACACCTAAATCGTTTTGAAAAGAAAGAAAATAAGTTGACTGTTGGTCAACCGTCTAAAGAACCGAACGTAAAGTTGAATTGATTTTTATTAAAAGGATAAACATATGCACGATCTCAATTGTTAATTTATTATGTTTATTCTTGTGCTACAATGGAGTGCCACTCAGCGTCAATGCTGAGCGGATAGCGTTGTTTTCCTTTTTGCTGTCCGTAGGTGATCAGACAGATGAACTTAGAGCCGATCCCAGAGGGCATTGAGGAGGAGATGTACGATGGCGTGGCTGTCTCTTTAATCTGTTGATTATGCTTTATTTAATTAACTTTAATGCTTATTACGTTTTCGGGCAAGATCCCAAGTTGTTTGACTTAAAAAAGGCTTCCGCATTATTTTAAATTACTCCGATGGATTTTTATATGTATTGAAAGAACGTTTGTTTAAAATTGTTTTGAAAATGTTGTATATTCGGATACCAATCCAGTGGCACACCGGTCCGCTATCTCACGGGTTTGGGTTAGGCGGGTTGGGGTGTTACAAAGCCAGGGGTGTCCCTGATAGTTTAAGTCATGCATCAAGCCATATCATCATCATGTATGTTCCACATCACATCAACATTCAATGTGGTAGCACATCATTTTGTAATATGTAATAGTACCCCCAACAGGTGGAAACTAAACAAGTTAGTAAACATGTGGTTTTCCGTACGTTAAGTACATGTATTAATGTGTGTATAATCATATGGGTTATCACTTCATGTTCTTTTGTTAGATTCACTCCTCAGCTCTTGCTGAGCGTGTAGTTGTTTTTGCTACACGCAGGTAGTCATGACGGTACAGGTGCTAACCCTGGAGGACAGTGATGATGGGAGGATGGGCGGCGCACGGACGAGTTCAATATTTATATATATTTAATCAATTAATCATTTGGGCAAGAACCCACCATTTGTCGTTTTACTTGTTTTGGACTTATTTATTTACTTCCGCTTTACTCTGCATTTATAACACACACGTTTTGGGGATAACTCCCTAGCATTTATTTCACCAACTAAACACAACCGTTTTCATAATAAATGAGCATTAATGTTTTCCACTACGGACGGTTCTCGGACCGCCCATGTAACCCTACCGGTCCGTTGGGTCGCGGGTGAACCGAGTCCACGAAAGGCGGGTGTTACAAAAGGCGCGTACCGTTCGGGATAGATTTTACATAATAGAGTGAATTTGTGGGAAGTAACTCCCCTTACCTCTCCACACGTCACACACCCTTTACTCTCCCATAACCCCCCATTCAATACCCCTTTTAATACTCCATTAATCCTCCATCAATCCTTTTGAATATAAACCCCTTCTCCCTTCACTTCCCCATCACATTTTGTAACTCCCTTACACTCTCATCACCCTCTCTCTCCCTTCTCTTGTTCGGACAAGGCAGCAAGTAGACAAGTAGAGGATTCTGGCGAGTAGACGAGTAGAAAGGAAGAAGGAGGGCTACGCGAGAAGTCGTTCATTCATTCGTTCGTCTGTTCATCGTTCATCGTCATCCATCCTGTAGGATCGTTTTCAGGAACTTCCCAGTGGGTCACCCATCCTAGGACTACTCTCGTTCCAGCACGCTTAACTACAGAGTTCTGAAGTTAAAGAGGTGCCAAATGCTTCCTAAAACCAATTGGTGATAGGGAGGTGGACACTTTATATTTAACCACATCTCTCTGTAGCCCCAAGCCGAGGTAGATTCCTATTGGGCACCCCCTATAGTTCACTACGGCAGAGCGGAGCCCCACTACTGAGCGGTGGATGGACAGGAGGGGCTTCGCAAGATACACGACTCGTGTACCTCGTCAGGTTGGGCTGTCAGTACCCGATACCGTGACTAGCACAGTAGTGAATCCCTAAGGGTGATCGATGGTCCCCCATAAGACCAACACATCCGTTCATTTCGCTTACGTTTCATCAACCCCTTCATTTAGAGGTGAGTATGTTGCCCTCTTACATTAGAATTCGTAGTTCAATCATATCGTTATATTCATAGGATTACCCGGCTAAACATACCTGTGTCCGCATTATCATGGTTATTCGTTATTTAGACTTTTCTACTATAAACTTGTTAATATAAACGTTTGAGAATCCATAATTTCATAGCTTATTCAATGTGAGAACATAAACATGCATTTCAAAAACTTCCAACGTATTGAACACAACCAAACAGGCAAAATGAGAACCTGCATGCCTTGATAATCGATTGACAGGACATGAGAATCGATTATCAGGTCATGCTGGACTTCTCCTTCGAATCAGCAAGTGTGACAATCGATTATCACTTAGGTGATAATCGATTATCAGGCCCTGCGGATTCTTGGGTCTGAGTTGGCTTCACTGATAATCGATTATCACAAAGCAATAATCGATTATCAGGCCTCTCTGGACTTGAGTTTTCCTGAACAAACCAACTTGACAATCGATTGTCATAAGGTGACAATCGACTCTCACAGTCTGCAGGACTTTGGGAACAGAAGCTGCACAGCATGACAATCGATTATCAAAAGTAGACAATCGATTATCAGCCAGCTCTAAACCTAAGGCCATCATGTTGAACAAATTGTTTTCACACGGAATCAAACATATATGTATGCGTTGAACTTAACTTCATTCTTCAATCAATGCAATCATTTCATCATGTACATCCTAGACGCTTGTTTTAGGATCATGGCATACTTGCATACCGCGGCAAGAGGTCAGGCCTAGTGCGCCTCTTCCGTGGGCCCGTCCAGGAACCTTCGGGATCCAACGGGTTTCACATACCGCGACAAGAGGTCAGGCCTAGTGCGCCTCTTTCGCGGGCCCGTCTAGGAACGTTCGGGATCCAACGGGTTTCATCAGGAGGGCTTGTGTACGTGCATGGTAACTATGCATTCAGTTACCACCCACATTCTAGGCTCCTTCCGGAGACTGAGGCGTTCCTCGGCTCATCTACCGCGTGGGGATGATCACCGAAGGGCAGGGGTGTCCCTGCGCAGTCTAACTCACGCATCATGGATTATTTCGCATTGCATCACTGTTTACTCGTAACCTATTATTCATCAAACTTGTATGTGGTATCTCGTACTTTGGTACAGGTACGATTATGTGTATAACAATGTGAATGTACTATGCGTTGTACTGTTAGATTACCACTCAGCTTTTTCTGAGCGTATAGCGTTGTTTCCCTTTGCTATACGCAGGTAGGCAAGATGATCATGGAGCCTGACCCGGATGACTAGGAGATCGGGGCAGCGGATAGACGACAGTGTGGACCCGACCATTTTCCATTTAATACTTAAAACTGTTTTTGGGCTCGAACCCACCGTTGTCGCATTTACTTCGTTCAAAACATAACATTTACTTCCTTTTTAATTGCTTCCGCCATGAAACGCCTTTAGGGGAATTTATTCCCATCATTTAATAAATATATCAAGGGTTTCTAGTTACAAGAAACACAAGGGTTTTCCCAGTAGACGACCTTTAAACCGTCTACGTAATCTCTCCGGCTCGTTGGGCCGCGGTGAACCGAGTTCGCGGGACGGAGGGTGTTACACTTTGCCCTTCCAAAAACTTTATGGAGTACATTGCGATGTTTGAAAGACTTGTATATTTAATCTAAATAATAAGTGAACAATTAAAAAGAAATTCATATTAAAAAAATACTAAAAGTCCTATAAGACAAATAAGAGTTTATGTGGGTGTTTCTCTGTGTGCTTATAAGGTTGTCAAAACTGCTTATAAGTAATTTTTAATTTATAAGTCATCTAATGACATGTTTCTGTATGCTTATAAGCTGTGAGAATATATAAGTAAGTCTTAGCTACTTATTTTTAAATGAGTTTTTTCGTTTCTCCATTTTGACCATATTAATTACAAAACTGTTCCTCACTATTATGAATATTTACAAATGACTAATCTATCATTTAAGTTATTATATTACCACGAAAGAATATTTGACTTAAAAGTAGCTTACAAGTCAAAAACTGATTATCAACAACAAGCCACAAAGTATATTATTTTATCAAATATGTAATGAAAATAGATAAATAAAGACGACAGTATACTACTCCCTCCGTCCTAAAATTAACTTCTCACTTTGACTTTTCTAGTCAAACTTTTTAAACTTTGACCGTATATTACAGAAAAAATACATTGAATTTTCATATAAATTTATTAGCAATAGCTTCATTTTGAAACATAGTTTTGAAATATATAATTTTTATAAAATATATTTGTATAAAAATTGAGATATTGATGGTCAAAGTGTCGCATTGAAAATCGTGAAAAGTCAAATGGGAAGTTAATTTTAGGACGGAGGGAGTATTTGCTCATGTGAATAAAATATTTTTAAAAATTACGAAGTACATTATAAAAATATATATATACACAAATGAAAAGTTTGTGTAATTTGTAAACAAGGTGTTTGTGACT